TGAACCGCCAGGAACCTCTTCCACTTTGATCTGCTTTCAAACCTTGCCTCAACTCTCCGTTGTAGAAACGCACACCTAATTGTAGAGCCCTAGAAAGCGGCCTCTGTCTGAAAAGCCACCTACAGTTTGTTTACGACAATGTTCTGAAATGAATCGTCTTTCTGCAGGCACAGATCATCAGGAGGTTTGCAATTTTTTAATTGAACGCTGGCCTGTGCCGTGCTTCGCCACAACAAGGATTTACAGCCTTAGTCCGAAACTAACCAAAAGAAGAGAACCTCATTCATAGATGAGGTTTTCTATAGGAGGAAAGCCACAAGTGAACAGAAGTAAAAATCAAACCTTCAGTTTCTTTGTTGAATACCCTCCTATCCTGCATTAATAAGGTGCCAGTATTCAGGAGCCACGTATCTGATGCCCTGGAGCAGTTAAAAGTAAAATTGAAGTTTAATGGCTGAAGTCTCACATTCCACTTAAATAAAAAATTAAGGTTAATTGTTTTTAAACATCCCTGAGTAGGCTAATAAAGTCAGCCTTAATGGTATAACGAACACTGAAAATTAGAAGCAGATACTTGTTGAATTATCAACTGTATCACGAATAGGAGTCTATTATAGCTAGACAAATGCTGTATTGTCAATAAATCTCACCAATTAGGCTCCAAGAATCAATCTCTACTTAACTTGAGATACCAGCTGTTCAGTACCAATTCTTTCTGAGGTACATGGAGAAAATAATTGAAAAGCATTGCATCGGTTTTGTTGCTGGCATTACTTTCGGGTCAAAGAAATGAATACAGCCACCTTCGTTTAAGCATGTTTCATGGCAAGACAAACAAGTAAATGAGAGCATCCTTTAAAGAAACATCAGAGCTGTGGGTGTAGCACCAGGCTCGACACACACAGGGCCAGACTCCCTATGCCACCAAAGAGGACAAGGGGGAAATGAACCCTCCCATCCTCTCTAGAGGCATTACAGTTACTGCTGATTTCCCTGGGACAGATCTAAAAAAATAATTACACTTTTTAAAGTCCAAAGTTCAGTGATGGCAATGTGATTTGGGCTACAGTAGGTCCCAGAAGTCCTAGCAAGGACTCCAGTGTTGGAGCCACCAAAAACTTAACAAATGGCAGAGCAGAAAAAAAAGCCCCACATGGTGACGTGGTTATCCTGCATCACAAGAAGGCACAGAAGAATGGCAATCTTAACTGTTGTAATTCCCTACATACAGAAGTATAAGCTCGACTTAAGTCTGGCCCATTCCTCCTATACATTCACCGACACCCAGGAGAGGTGCCTAAATCCTGATTTAAATACATCCCCTGAAAGGGATTCTTGGGAATTTTATTGATAGGAATTGAAGCTGTCTGCTGCAGTTGTACAATTGCACTTATACTTTATATATGCATTTTGAATTATATTTACTTAAATATATTATATTGTTTAATATTTAACTGATTTTTTACCTACTTATGGTTTTTAGACCAGTGACAGCAATTGGTTTCTGTTGTGCAGTAATATCCTTTTACATCGGGAAGGACAGGTAAGCTTACAATCAGATTATATTTCCCTGGACTGAACGTCCACAATTCCCAGAAGTTTATCCATTTTTCAATTTTAAGTGTTTTATATGCCTCTTTATTATACCATTTTAGTCTCATGAATGGGTGTGAGTAATTCTATTACGAAACTACTAAAAACCTGTTGCTAATTAAAGCTAGACATGTCAGGATCAGGGCAGAACTATCTCCTACTGATGTGGTTATTTATACAGAGACACCTAAACCTGGTTATTTAAAATAGTGGAGTCTCAGTTAATATGAAGCCATTTACACAGGTGACTTACACCAATTTATATCACCAGGAAGAGCCCAAATACCCCTTGTTTCTGTATGGCTGTATCTAGTACAAGAGAAATATCACAGTGCCAACTTAATCTCAAAGCCTACAGAGGACACTATTCAAACAACAGAAATTAGGAGATACTGGTAAAATGTTCCCAAAAAACCCTCTACCATTTCCAGTTATAATGAGATTTAATGAACTTTTCCTACAATAGCATCTTCTGCAGTTTAAGTAGTTCAGACAGACAGAACATAAAACATGAAGGGGAAAAAAAAAAACCTCCAGAAAAATGAGCATTCTTCCATCCATCCTGACATGACTTCAGTAACAGAAATGAGAGTGACCTCATCATGAAGGGATGGAGGACTGGATGTCATTGTTCAACTGTCTGGTGCCCAAGGTGTGAGTGATTAAAAAGACTCGGGAAATTACAAGAGAAAAAAAGTGGACCCATACAAGTAATTTCTGATAAAAGTCTCTCAAAAAAGGTGCATAGGAAACCTGGGAAGTGTGCACATTAAGCAAATTAATGTAAATACACCGTGTTTGTGAGGTCAGCTGTTTATGCATTAAATTATGTATTTTGCATATTCATCAAAGGAGTTCTCAGACCCTGGTCCCACAGACTTTTTCTTGAACAATTAATAAGATGCTCTTTGGCATAAATTC